ATATATGAGTTTGTATGTAATGTATGAATATAATATACAAGTTTCACTTTTTAAATGGAATTACTAAAATAAATCTACTTTTTCATGATATTCTAATTTTATGACCAGCACCTGTATATTGAGGAGTGGAGTCTCACCTGGGGGTTGCTAGGTAAGGGGCTGAATGCAGGTTCAGGTGGGTTGTCGTACGGCTTGTGACATCACAAAATAACGGAAGTATAAAACTTTCATTAATATACATTAAAAATACATTTACTTACAGTAAATATGCCCCTGGGTGCATTTTTTTGGTCCTAGGACTGTTTTTTAAGAAGTACATACCCAAAGTTGAGTGAAAAAAAACTTTAAAAAGTGAATTTTGCATAATGGGACCCCTTTAACAATCGCCCATTTCCTCTAACATTTATATGTTCACAAACAAACTGCTTAATATCCTGAAAATCACAGTTTGTTTACATGTTACAAAATAAATGATGCAATTACTTCATCACTGACTGTTCAGTTTATTATTATTTTTGTCCCTCTGAGGTTGAATCAAGTAAAATTGTTGCAAACATTTAAAATCAACATTCTTGTTCCGGTTGTTTCTTACCAAGGATAAATTTTGGCTCATTTATTGTATTTTTATTTATTTTTTTTCTGGCTGCAGCTCTTCCGAGTAAGTCGGAACTGGATCGACTGAATGTCRTTTTTTTAATTCAAATTTACTAATTTCCTTGTATTCTCGCCCGCTGTGGCCCATGTGGGGTCTGCAGAAGCCAGTTTTCAGTCTGTGGTGTTTTTCATGTCACACTCAGGAAGGATTCAGATCTTTTTTTTCTAAAATCGTCGTGTCAAACAGAGACTTTAAATGATTAATACAGAAAAACTGATGGACTGACCTCTAGTTCACCTGTTCCCACCTGTGTTTGGTCATAGATCATGTTGACTACATGGATCAACTTTAAGTACCTTAAACCAACGTCAGAAGGCGACATTTTGACATCACTTATTTACCAAGCAAATCCCAGTGGTTGTTTGGCAGCCTTTAAAGTAAACTGATTTAATGTTTCTCCACCGCAGAGGAGAAGCTGGATTAGGAGAACCAGATTATGATGTTCATGTCATGAGGTCCTCTGGCGTTTCATCACTCACTGATGGTAGAAAAGCAACTCAGCGTTTGTCACTGTTTGTGTCACTGAATCCAGCAGTGAGGGCAGGAAGGTCCCTGAACTGCAAGTTAAATAGAAATAAATGAGCTGTAAAATCCTTGTTGTCACTGACCGGTTGGCACCAGGTGAAAACAATATTGTAAAAATAAAATATGTTTTCAACATGTAAATCAGATTATTTAATTCAGTAGATCAACAAGCTGTTTTCTTTTTYCCTCTTCCATCTCAAACTCGTTTTCCTTCGGTCTTCTTTGCGTCAGCAGCACCTACTCATCCATCTCTCACATATATTCAGCACTGTACATCACGCTGCTCGTTTGGGTTTTGGCTGCCTGTGCACATTGTTGCCCTTTTGGCAGGAGCTTCTTCACAGATGCTTTGTTGTGTCTGAGAGCGTGTGGGAACATACGCGTTCGGAGCTGTGGGTGGTGGGTGGAAAAAAAACAAAAAACAAAAATGTGAATAGTGATTTTGCCACGCTCCTTCCAGCTGGCTTAAAAATATCCCACATCTTTAATGGCTGCCTGAGAAATCTCTGCTGTTCTGCTAATCAGTCCTCCTCACACAGGGTTAGTTTCACACAGGGAAGATGGAGAAGCTCATTACTGATGGAGAGCTTGTTTGGTGAAAAGAGCTCATTTTAAAAGACTTGTTTATTTTTGGGTTGGAAATCTAATTTGCCACAGGCTACAGTTTGTTAATAAAAATGTGTTAGCTAGCTTAGCTTAGCTTAGCACAAGAGGAAGTTTAAGGTTGACAGGATTCAATGAACCCAAAAGAATATATATATTTATGTAAAGAATATGGAAACTGGACTGTGGGATGAGAGCCAATAATGCACAGTTTAAGTGAATCCAGACACAGAAGAATAAACAGACAGGGACTAACGACTAACAAGGGAAGCGGCTACACCTGTGAGCAGGAAGCAGGTGAGCATGGGTGTGGCAGGCTGACTACTTGATGGCACAGAGGAAGAGGCAAGATTACTAATCACAAAATATAAAATAAATCTATAACCATAAAGCCCAGAAAGCTATAAACAAAAAACAAACTCAAATGAATATGTGTCCTCACAATCTTTCATGCAGAATTATACACTAAAATTAACTTTGGTTGTAATTTTTGTGCATCATCCCAGGGTGTCTTGCTCAGAGTGTGTAACGTTTAACGTCGACTCTTAGCTACAACCATGACAAATTTTAACTCATCCATTTTTGTGTTGACTAAAATTGAATTATCTTCAAATGTTAATCATTAGACGTATTCATCCAGTGATTATTGTCCCAAAGTTTCATTGAAATTCATTCAGCGTTTTATAAAATATTTTACTAACTGACAAGCTACAAGCTGTTTCTGGACTAACCTAAGCTAAACTATAGTGCCTGCTAGCAGCACAGTCAACTATAATTAGATTTTTTAAAAAAGGGTAATTTTACCTCCCAAATTTTTGACTGTCTGCTAAAAAAGGATTTTTCTGCAGCTTGTTTCTGCAGACGAGGTCATTAACGATAAAATGACAGCGAGATGACAGACGRATCCAGTAAATCTGTCATTTAATCCCACATAATTACTTTGTTGATGTATGACCACGCTCTGACCTTTCATCCTGGCATTTGCTGCTACCCTTTACTTTTTTTAATCCAACTAATCTCTTACATGACAGGAACACTTTTTTTTTGCAGGTATCTGAAGCCAGATGTTCATAAGAAATCCAAGCACAAAACATCGGTCATAAAAAAGACTCTCAACCCAGAGTTTAACGAGGTAATGTCCATGTTTCTGCATGTCTGTGTGAGATGCTCTGACTGTAACAAGACAGCTCATTTATAAATCACAGACACTCATTTTCTTTTTTGTTAGAGAATTCCAGTTTACATATTGTCTGCCGTCATTACAGGACAATTAAGTGAACTTGTCTTTATTCTCACCCAGGAGTTCTTCTATGAAATCTCCTTCTCAGAGTTAGCCAACAAGACGCTGGAGGTCACAGTGTGGGACTACGACCTCGGAAAGTCTAATGACTTCATCGGTGAGTTTAAGACAAATTAAAGACCTATTATTCTTTGAAGGAATGCATATCCCCCGCTCCTTTTCATTTAGCGTATAAGATCATTTTATGCTGAGAAGAGATGGAGTTAGTCAAACATTTAAAGCACACGTGTCCAACTGAAGGCCTGCGGGTCAAACCAAGCCCTCGTTATCATTTTATCCGGCCCTAATTTAAAATATGAAACAGTTTCAAGGTTTCTCTTTTTCTTACTGTATTTAGTGCATTCTCCTCATGAGAGCTAGCAAGAAAATTAAGTTTGAATTTTTCAGTAATCTTTGATTTTGGTGTGGAAAGAGCAACAGAGAATCAAAGTTAGTTACATTTGTCTGTATTTGTCCTGATGCATCTCAGTAATCCAGGTAAAAAATAAAAAAAAATTGTATAGGTCTTCTGGACGGGTTCTTCTCTGATGAAACGTTTCGTCTCTCCTCCAAGAGACTTCTTCAGTCTGACATCTCAGTTTCTCCAAAACACCCGCAACATACGGAATAACCACTGGTTTGGGTCTGGGTTTGGGGTCTTCATTTTCACCTGAAGGTTGCHTGGANTCCTGTCTGTGTTTCCTGTCTGCTTTCAGGAAAGCCCAGTCAGRATAACCACACTGCTCCAGGGCCTGTCGTGTGTGTGATTTCTCTTTCTCGCGGGTGTTTTGGAGAAACTGAGATGTTTATTTTCAACACATGATGTCCCAGTGGCTTTCAAACCCCAAAACACATTACGGCAAAGCTGGTTCACCCCAAAGATCCGGTGCCCCGGCACAAACAGAGCAATATTGTACATGCTGTCAAGTGCCAGGAGGACTGCGACCAGTTATACATCGGGGAAACAAAGCARCCACTGTTCAAAAGAATGTCCCAACACAGACGAGCTACATCTAATGACCAGAACTCTGCAGTTTTCACTCATTTACAGGCCAGCGGTCACTCTTTCAGAGATGAGGATGTTCTCATTCTTGATAGAGAGGAACGTTGGTTTGAGAGAGGAGTAAAAGAAGCCATTTTTGTGAAGAAAGACCGTCCATCATTAAACAGAGGTGGAGGCCTCCGTTTTCAGTTGTCCCCCTCCTACAGCACTGCTATTGCCAGTGTCACTCCACCCCCTGTTAACAATAAGTGTTAATTAGGTGTCAACGATAGCCATGTGATGTATCAGTCACATGGAAGCAGTGCTTAAAAGCCTGAATTTTGTCTGAAACTCTCAGACTGAAGAAGTCTSTTGGAGGAGAGACGAAACGTTTCATTAGAGAAGAACCCGTCCAGAAGACCTATACAATTTTTTTTCTTTTTGATTTGTCTGTATTCTTTTCTTATTTTAAGATCAAATTAGTGAGGATTTCTTTTGTTAGTTTTTAACCTGATTTGCTGGATTGTGATCAAATATAACTTTAGGATATAATAATGGAAAGAGTTGTTTATAGAGAATAAGGCATATGAAATAAATAGATGTTTTTCTAAAAAATTTTTCTTTTCTTTATCTGTTCTGCTCTAAATGCTACATAAAACACAATTTAGAAAAAGTCTTTACAATTTTGATAAGAGTAATTTGTTATTTAACTTTTTTTTTCAATAGACAGAAATTGTCACTAGACTTGGACCAAGTTTTGAAATTTGATCCCTTTGTGTAAGTGAATTTGACACCCCCGAATTTAAACATGCTAAACTTACCTTTAAGATCTAGATGAGATTTTTCATGTATATCTTTAAGCTTGTTTTGGTAGCGTTTTTGTTGCTGTGGTTCAGAGTATATGTTAACTACACGGACAGATGTCCCAACTAACTGCTGGATCCTTTAGTTAAGTAGCTGGTACTGGTAGGAAGAGAGAAGATAAAAATAATAGAAGAATAAAAGAATAAAATTCCARCTGAACTGAAAATCTTAACAATGAAAGCTGTAATGATATTTTATTAGTAAATGTATAAAACTATGTAAATCACGTTATTAATTTTCACAACTTACAAAATTATATTTTTACAAATAAAAACCTAAAATTACACTTTCTACTATAGACCACTTGCACATAAAACGTCTTAATGTGTATTATTGATGCTCCAACGTTTCACCTCATCAGTTTTCTCTGCCAGAAATAAACAAAAAAAATGCTATCGTATTTGTAAAATTGATAATGATGCGGGTTTGTTTATACAGAATAACCTCTGACCCTTACCCACAATGATATGCACACAGAAAACTACAAAATAGTCTGTAAAATTCATCAACGTGCCGCCATTTCTGTGTTGAGAAAGATCTTGAGTTGACTTGATCTCAACCTGATACCTTCTGAAGTCAATGCAGCTAATCAACTTATCCAACTCAAAAATGGCTCCAAGTCAGTCAGTTTTACAGATATTAGATGTTTGTAGACATTCAGCCAATAATCACTTTCTAAGAATTTCACTGAAATCCATCCACACACACGAGCAGGAACATTATCGTTCTTCTGCTGTGGTGACGTGATAAAAAAGAGAGGCTAATAACGTGCTGCTGGTGACTGGTTCCTGCAGTAAAAGTCACGTGGACCATCGCAGATGTTGCCAAAGATATTTTAGGAAGCAGCCGAAGTGCAGCACAGTGTTTAGTTTCTGGCTAAAAGCCACACAAAAAAGGCTGCATGTTTGATTGAAGCTACTGGCTACTTGCTCTTTGAGTAGGAGTAAGTGATGTAAGAATATATTTTTGTAACTTTTTATAAATAAATCTCATCTCCCTCTGAGTTACAGGGATTTTTTTTTCTCTTTTTTGCCGTTTAGAAGAAGAAATCTCATGGTTAGTGGCAGAGGTCTATAAAATATTTGAAACAAAAACAAAAAAAAACAAAGTAAAAGTATCTTAACAAAAAATGACTGGTAAAAATAAAGTTCACTGATGAGAAAAGTACTTAAGTAAAAGTCCTGAAACTGTTCACAAAAATTGGGAAAGTAACAGTAAAAGTACTTTTACACACTCTAAGAAATAAACTGCTGAATTTACTGAACCAAACTGGTTCCACTAAACCAAGTTGAATTAATTGAACAATATACATATTTTCTTTACTTTATATTTACTTTATTAGGTTTAGTAGCACTAGTTGACTTTGTTGAGTAAACTCAACACTTCATTTTTTAGAGCGCATAAACAACTTCCTTCATGATGAGTTTKGTCATATTTAATTTTATAACGAGTAACTAGGTGTTCAATTTTAAAGTAAAAAAATTGTAAAAGTACCATCTTTAGGTTTTAAATGTAATGAAATAAAAGTTAAAGTAACGATTTTAAGAAATACTAAGTAAAATTAAAAATTCTCAAAACAATTAAGTACTGTGAAGAAGTGAATGTACGTACTTAGTAAAGTAGTGGCTCAATCAAAAATGTATTATTTCACTTTTACAAACGTTTCAGTAATGCTAAAATATAAAACAGGGATAAACTTCAATGTTGAGTCAAAATAATTGCACTTTTCACAGGCAGTAGGTTTCCATGAGCAGCTCATTAGAGTAGAAATGTATTAATGTGATTTAATGACAGTAAAGGTGAAAGCCCGTGGAGATCTGAATCTGAAATTTGTGCCGTCTGTCAGGGAAGGGATCAAGGCCAGAATGACTTGTTAATTTTTAATTCGTAATTTCCACTTTTTCCTTTTTACGTCTCATGCAGCTTGACCTCTGTGGGCTTTTAGAGGTCACAGGGGTATAAATCAGCTTTATTATGACCACAGTACGGCAAAACTGTTCGTCATTTAAATGACATTCAGACAATTCTGTGAATGTAATTCACTTAGACACAGTTACAACACAAGAACGTTTGAGGGATATGTTGAGATCTGTCAGTGCTTAAAGTATGTGTTGAGGATGACTCTCAGCTACTACCACGCCCACATTCACATCGATGTCTATAAAACTGTTGAAGGAAACATTTCCTAAACTTGTCTCCGCTCCGGTCAGGGGGCGTGTCCTTAGGGTGCCACTCGCAGGGAGAAACCCTGCAGCACTGGATAGACTGTCTGAAGAACAAGGGCCAGAAGGTAGAGCGCTGGCACACCCTGACCAACGAGCTGCCCGGATCCACCCTGCAGGACTGAACCGGGCCTCTTTGTTGCTTCATCGCATGCTGGACTCATCCCACTAATTTTGTGTTACTGATGGGGTCTGATCAGTACTGGACTGCTGGATGTAGGTAAAACTCCAGAATGGAAGTAGTTCATGAATAGTTAAAGGATAAAAACTGCCCCTCAGACTTCATTCGTGAAGAGAAAACAAACTCCTGCTCACGCTGAGGGAGAGGATGGGTTCATTATTCTGCAGTTTGACTCTATTCTTCATGCCAGCTCGGCTTGTTTTTAATAAATCCTGTCACTTTTTTTTCCCCTTAACTCGACATTACAACCCCACGGGTAATGACCACCTGTCACACAGTCCTCTCCCCTGCAATAATGGTTTTTCCCTGATGCTTCCAGAGATTTGGGGGCGGCCTTCATTCGGCCGGACGTCGTGCATCTATTGATCTGTGGCTGGAGCGCCTGCAGTCTGATGACATAACTGGATCTTTCGTGTCGATGGTCGGTGTGAGCTGTTTGCATGTTTGGTGTCGATGGAGCAACAAGACAGCTGCTTGTTCCCGCTCTTGTTGTTGTGTATTTTAAAGGTACTCAGTGTAATGTCAGGAAACAAAGATAACTCTGCACATGTTTTTATTTTCTCATATTGATGGTTAATGTGGACATATATTTTAAAATTTTAGATTAAATTTGTAACCAGCTGCCAAATACTTGTTTTTGACGTGTTATTTGTTAATAAAAGATGGATGTTCCTGCTTTGACTTTTGGGTTTAGCAGCTTTAAAACTTTGATGTTATATTTTTGTTTTGTTTTGTTCTTTTACTTTTTCCAGCATTTTTTTCTCATTGAAAATAAATCAGCTCTTCACGTCCGTCAAAACCTTTGTGCTCTTTAAAACCTTCTTCAGCATACTTGCTGCCTTTTTGTCTCCCGGTCCCATGTTTTGTCAAAAGAGAGAAAAGGACTTTTGTCTTTTCACTCTTCACTGTGCATCTTTTTGTGTCCCCCTGTTTGTTCTTTTATTGTCCAATGTGAATGTCTTAGTGCTTTTCATGTCCCCTGTTTTGTCAGTTTTGCTTTTTACATGTTTCCTACTGTGCATCTTTTTGGCTTTTTCATGTTTCCTCACATGTCCTTTTGGCCTTTTCACATCTCCTTATGTGTCCCATTGGCCTTTTCATGTCTCCTTGTGACCTTTTGCGTGTCCTTTTAACCTTAATGTGTCTCCTTGTGTGTCCTTTTAGCCTTGACTTGGCATCCTGTGTGCGTTTATTATGTTTATTTCCTTGTGCATCCATTTAGTTTTTTTCTGTCCTTCTTCTTGTTTCTCATGGGTCCTTTTTTGTTCTCATTATTTTATGATTTTTCTTTTTCTTTGTCTTGCTCCAGGTGTCTTTTCTTCTTCGTCCAATCATTTATCTGTCATTGAAAGTTAAAACAATTTATCAAATTTCAGCAGCATAATTCAACATCC